AACTGCACGGGTTAATCTCGCGGGGACTGCCAAGGAAGGAACAATTGTTGATAATCCAGAAGAGCATCGTCAATGATATCTATAAGATAGAGCCAGATCGCCAACTTTTCCACGGTGTTCCAGAGAAGTGAGCGAGTTTGTGAGCATCACCCACGAAACGACAGGGTATGTTTGGGTGCTGCACTCCAAATATGGAAACAGTATTTCAAGACAGGTCGAATCTGTGCCGTATAGATCATAAGCAGCTGACTGGAAGTGGAATAGCTCCTGGCCCGAAACAGAAAACCAAGTTTTTGGGATGCCCTTTTAGCAATTGATCTCACGTGATTTTCCCAAGAAAGGTTATTGCTGATAGTAATACCAAGCATCGAAATGGATGTCTTCAAAGGTATGGTTACTCCTAAAAAGCTTGTTACTCCTGACAAGCCAAGTGGCATCACATTTTCTGGCGAACCACTGCGGGAAATTTGTCAATATCATTAGTTTCTAGTTGACCAAGAATCGATCTCCTTGTACATAGAAGTAATAACCAAAGCAAAAATATTAGAATTTATCATTGAATAACTTACACCCTATATGAGGTACTGCGTTGAAATTATGTATGGGCGTATTTAAGCTATGTCTGAATCGAATAGGCTTTCCACTTTTTCGGAAAAGATTTGCCTATCAGTCGTTGAGATTTTGTCTAGTTCAACAATGATAAGTAAGCCCTGAGAATCTAAATATTCCTGATTAGACAACAGCTCTCTGAATACTTTTATGAAATTTTTGTTATGGGAAATTGGTCAACTGTTTCCATTTGGAGGGTATTGGTTCAGCTAGAATAGCCGTTGTTCACCATTGTTAGGAACCAACAACAACTTTTCTCGTATTGTACTATTTCCATGAAAGTTTATTTCGAGAATTTCCAAAGCTTTCTCATCACTTCTTGCATAATTTTTTAAACATCACCATTATATTGCTGAATTCGAGGATTTGCGGCGTAATCCTCAAAAATATATTTGAAGCTCCCAACCTATCACAACTAGGTCTTGGATAGATGTACGAGAGACAATAATATTTTTGTTGGAAATAACAAACGGCACGTCCACTGACCTAAAGAGTAACCTTAGAATTCTCTCGTCATTGTTACGATTCAGTATACCCATATCATATTTCGTATATTTTGCGTCTCGTATACAGGATAAGGAAGAAGATCTTTTTCAATTTTGTCAAGTATCAACACTTGGATTTGTGGACAGCGTTATAACGCAGTTTTCGAATACTTTATTTGCAAATACGAGATAGGGTTCCAAGAAATTACATGGGTTGGCAATATGAAGTGAGAAAGGTATATTTAGATATTATGACTTCGAAATTCTCATGTTGCACGTCTAAATATCATTGAAAATGATTTAGTGACCATGAAGTTTGAGCTAAAAGCGTTTAACTTGACACTTAAAAATAATAAACAAATTTAGTACAAACTGGAATATATGAAGGTACCTACAGGTTGAAGTTGTTGAAATGCTCCCACAAAATATCCCGCAAAATATGAATAGGATGTCGTATAATATTCGTCATCGGAAACAAAAAAAAGGAATTGAGGTGAATCTTATATGGATATCGGGTATGTTTACATAAAAATAAATAGCCTTCCTTCGTTTTTTTGTTCACTTATAACTAATCTGTCACTTTATTCAAAATTAATGAAGATTATTCGAATGGTGATATGGTGTTAAATGGTGGTGTTCAGATAGTGATATTTTTCGTTGATGACAAAAAATCCTGACTAGAAATTAGTTCATATACCTAATGAATGACGATGCAATGATATAAATTCTCAGTTGAGTATTTATAATATTCGAAATATCAAAAACACATGCATGACAATACTTTTTGGCGAATTTTTTCTTGTTTCATGTAAGTGAGAATTCCTATAAAGTTAATATTTTGATAACTCATAAATCAGGGTGACAGAGTCTTTCTTTAAAATGAACGTATAGTGATCTTCCTTATGTTGTGGTGATGAATAAAATTATTCATAGAGAACAAAAAACCATATAGGTAATAAAAGAGAATATTTTTGGTTAAAAATGTTTTGGAACATATCAGACTATGGAGTTTGCCTAGTATTTTAGTGAATTATCGATCAGATGTTGATAGCCAAACCCAAACGTTTGCTTTTGGTGAGGACAGAAGACCAAAATTCTATAAGTGACAATGTTTTCAGACGTCTGTCTCTCTGTCGGTCAATTTATGAGTATAAACCAGTTGCTTTTGAAGGATACTTACTTGGGAGTATCGGGGTCATTGAATGAGGTCTCCAAGTATAATGACTTGTCTACAGGAAGAATGGGCATTACATGAATGTTTTATTTCCTATTTTCGAACTCGAAACGCACCTATATGGAAATCTGATGGATCAATTGCCGAGAGGGTGATGAGCAAATATTTGGGTTGAAATAATATCTTCTTCGATACGACCAATTGGTCATTTAGTCATAAATGTGGGAAGTAAAATAAATAGAAGTTGTTTTCATTATCTACCTCCAGCAGAATACGAGATAACTCTGTTTTACAAATCTCGAATCCTCTGAAACGACCGAAACATGCGAAAAGCGGTGTCTATAGGATTGGATGACCGGTCCTTTGTAAACACAGCGGCGAACTGCAATATGAAAGGTCATTTTTCAAGCAGTAAATGTTATTGGTTCGATACCTTTGAATGATTAAACGTCGGAAAATGACAAGGTTCGCGCATTAATAACAAATTGAGAAGTGACACTTTTTTTTCCTACGATACCATGATACCTTGCACAAAACAATGCGCGAAGTAAAACAGTGCGCGGAGTATACCTACTTCGCGCATTGTTATGTGAAATATATGAGATATTTATATTTCAACTTTATGGTCTCCAATCGAGCAAACATCGACCAAATCATTTATATCTGAATGTTCAACAATAACTTTGTTTTATCTCTTGGAGCGCACGAAAGGAAATTCCTATTATGTTCGTGAAACATCGTGCGTACCTAGGAGCTAAGCATATTTTTACTTTAGAACTATATTTTTCGACGTTTGTAGAAAAAATGACCATTTTGTATCTAGAGCGCAAAATGCTATACTTTGGTGATCGAGATCTGAATAGTCGAAATGACCAAAGTATTTCGCGCTCGAGTTGCAAACAACATATTTTCTAGAAACGTCGAAAAATATAGTTCTAAAGTAAAAATATGCTTAGCTTGATATAAAAAATAGTGTTGAACTGATGGCCTATCCCCCTAGATACGAACGATGTTCCACGAACATAATAGGAATTCCTTTTCGTGCGCTCCAAGAGATAAAACAAAGTTATTGTTGAATATTCAGAAATAGATGATTTCGTGGATGTACTCGATTGAGGACCATAAAGTTGAAATATAAATATCTCATATATTTTACATAACAATGCGCGAAGTAGGTACTTCGCGCACTGTTTTACTTCGCACATTGTTTCGTGCAAGGTATCATGGTAACGTAGGAAACTGGAAAAAAGTGTCACTACGCGATTTGTTATCAATGAGCGAACCTTGTCATTTTTTAACATTTGTGGAAAAAAATCATAAATGATCAATCACCATGTTTTTATAATATTGTCTGAGACTTCACTACACCTGTGTTCTAGAATATTTTTCGTTTTCTAAGGAAAATTATTGATAAACGATATAACATAACAGATGAAGTTGTTTATAAATCTTTCTAGAACAAGAGGAAATCGCTAGAATTACACAAAATGAACGTTTATTTCATAATCTTCCATTCAAATGATCCTCCTGGTGAGTATTATCATACTCCAAAGTAATGGATCGTTGATGACCACATCTAAATAGGTAGATACTCATATGGACTATCTGATCATAAATAAAGGAATCATTTGACAATGAAGAATTCCTTAATGCGGTACTTTTATCAAACACATCGATTTTCATTTTTATTGATATTCGTTATCATCAATGTTTTCGAAAATTATCTCTTACATGGGGAAATTCGTATTTGCCAATATTCAACATCTTCATTCTTGTGGTTATATCAAGATGAACGGAAGATCTTCTCTGTGCTATGGTATGTTTAGGTTAGGTTATGTTCACAACGATAATCAATTTTGAACCCATATTATCAGAGAGAAATTGGAACGAAATCAAACATCTGATTTTGATCGTATTTCAAGTTACAAAATTTATATCATCGTAATGAGCCAAATCACGACCCATTCTGAATACGTTATCCAATTTTGAAATGACTGACCTGGACAAAACAAATATCACCACAAGCGTAATACTCTGGTGATGATGCTTTGACAACGACCTGATCTTGCTGGTACTCTCCATTCCTTTAAACAGTTGTAATTTATGTTTTTCAAATACAGATCAACTCGTACATATCGTCATTTTTTCACCCCTAATCAACCGTTGAAGATCTATTAATTGTTCTCTCAAAATCATTTCTAGGGGAACTCAAAGATTACAATAGAGTTACCCAAAATTATGAGATCTAAACAATAAGTGACAAGTCATTCACCTGGTTGGTGATACTACACTCACTAATTCCTTGATATCATTGGAACACCGTAGAAAAGTCATCATTCCATCACTATAGCAATACCAATCAGACAAACACATCAGTCAGCACATCCTGTCGTCGTCAACCTCGTTCGAGATATATTATTAAACAACTTTCTCATCTATATATTGGCAAATATTTGGAATTGCTTGCCAAAAGAAGGACTTATAACCTTTTGGGAATAGAAAAAAAATCCAACATACTTATACCATTCCTTTCTATCCTCTCTAGGTACGCACGATGTTGTTCGTTTATAATAAAGAATCTCTTTCGTGCGCTACAAAAAAATTGTCTAATATTGGTGATTATGATATAGGGAACGAAAACCGATAAAACATTATTCTTTGCGCGAATTTTCTGATCTTTTAACAGGACATATATGGATTTTTGTAACAGTTCCATTTTTTTTATTTTTCAGAGGGATCTGAGGATGAAATAGAAGCATCAACCAAAAATTTAGAACTTGACGATCACCCCATGGAAAGAGCAATGGTGCCACCCCATGTCGATTCCGATTTTCAACCGTTCACACTTTCTCAAGAATACAGGAGAGATTATTATTCCAATACCGAAAATATGCTGCTGGAAACTATCCCCAAGATATCTATCAAAAACTGCGATGCTCTCTTCGATAAACCTTGCGATGAATCTGAATGTTCAAGGACTGATTTGTTTTATCTGCGAGCTAGAGAAGTTATTCTGGAAAGTGGATCGCTGCCTAATGAACTTGAGCTGAGGGATAATGGAGTTTTTGCGAAGATGAATATTGCTAAGTGCACCAGATATGGTCCGTTTCAAGGAAAGTGGGCCAGTGTTCCTCAGGATGCCAGGTTTGCGTGGGAGGTAAGTGCTGAGACTTTCCCTTAAGAAATTCACATATTCCACTATGGTGTTGATCAGAAAATGTATACATGCTTTATCTTATCATCACAACTAATTCCAAGAATAATTTACTCTCCTTTCCTTTCTATTCTGATAACAATCCATATGAAAACCAAGACACATCGATTTTTGAACTATCTATAATTTGTTCCTGACAAAAACAAGATTTTGATATTGTCAGATTCCGAGAATAACTCCTGATTTTAATTTGATAATCCTTTATCACTTCCATTGAATTGGATCGCTAGTTTGCTGAATTTCATATTGGAATTAATTGGATTGAAAACTCTGTGTTGAGTGCTTATTGAAATTTCCTGTAATTTAGGATTATCTAGTGATTCTAGACGGAATATTCATAAAAACATAAGTCGTTCGGCCTGAGAATGCATTGCTTCAGAAATACAGGGTGTCAATTTTTTTTGAAGAAGTCGTCCTGTATATTCTGCACTTGTCTATATACTATCTTCATTTTGCAACAAAAAATAATTGGGTACACATATAGAGGATTTTCAGAATAAGGAACAAAAAACTGATTTTTGAATAATAATTCATTACTTGTCTTGTGAACTATGCATTTGTCTACCTATATACAATGTGTTACGATTTGGTCCACCCCAGCCGTGTATACTTTCGTATTTCTAGGTCGATTTCAAATTTTTTTCCTCTCATAATTTACTACTCAAAATAATCTACTTAGTCGAGCAAAAGAAATCATCAAACACAATTTCTTGGCCTGTTGCGATCACGGAAACAATGAAAATGGATTAGGAATTTTTTACATGAAATTTTATGATGGCAATCGATTGAGACTATTATAGTCACAAATACTCTGATATAAATTTTCATGACAATATCTCATGAGAAGTGTTTTTTTATCAACGTTATAACTTTTGGATAATTGCATCTTTCATGTCACCGTGTATAATAATTCTTTGGAGATTTTGAATTTGAATAATACCAGGATGATGGTAGTCAAGATAAGATCGTCAGTCTACAGAGTGAGAAGAATAACGAATAAAATCACTATAAATCCGAATTTTTTATCAAGAAATAAAAAACAGAAGGAAAGACTGAGTAACACTAATCAAAAAATAACATAAAAAATTACAAAAAAAAACAACAGCAGCAACCATTCCTAACAAGTTCAGATTTTTGTATTCTCGATCAAATATCTATCACTCCCTGTACACACTTGTCACATCTCTTTCACACTTTATTTTCAACTCTCCCCAGTTCTTCTGGTGGTACACCTATCTCTCTGCAGACTGTTATTATTCTTTGTCGCAATTCTCCTCTATTTCTTTGCCTGAATTTCCCACTCTGTAGCCAGATGATCTAATCCTGACTGATCAAAATTTTTGAGAACAAATGCCTAAGAAAGTAGATAATTTTCAGTAGAATATTATAGTGAAAAAAAATCCTAAATCTTTCTAGGAATACGAAAATAAAATGGTGAAGTGAACCAAATTGTTACACAACGTATGTCTCGACGTATGTACATGACAACTTTTTTATTCAAATTAATCAACGAATCATCTCTATAGAAAAATCTGCCAAATAATTGATCAACACCCTATATGTTGCCTGATGAATGAATATATTTCTGATTGAAATTTCTATAAAATTATTTTATATCTCACCTCCAGTATACTGTAAATCAAAATGATAAATAATCAATTATCAATGATATACCAAGTGCAGTTGAGATTCTGGGAAACTCCAACGTTATCGCAGTAATTTAGTATTATATGATCGTATCAGATGCTATTTCTGGGAATCCTCAATAAAACCGTTGAAAACGATAATATCCTGTACAATTTCAATGAGTGGCTTATTTTGGTGACACGAAGTGATTTCAAACTGTCGAAAGTAACACAATAATAATTGTAGAGATAGCGAATGGGGTGCCTTACAATTCTGGGGTGAGAATTGGTTGTATTTATTCATTATTTCCTAAAATAAGGGAGGAATAATCCCTGCTATCAGGGTGTGAAATTGGCACATATTTATGGAAACTTGAAATTGGATCTTTATAATAGGGAAACATAGGGCTGATAAGTCTGATCGTCATACAGGGTGTATGAAAATCGATGTGAGCTAATGATCTCACACTGTTTATTCAAAGGGTACATAATGTTAATAAGGTACTTATTATGCAGATGACACGAACATTTTAGTTGTTGTTCTCTCAACATTATACTGATTTCCTTTCGTGTGCTCCGAGAGATGAAAAAAAAAAGAAATAACAAGTAGAATGGCCAGTTGAACTAAATATTTGAAGTAACTTCCGACGAGCAAATTGATAAAGGACCACTATACCTACCCACTCTTTGTATATCATGCCAATATTGCCAATTTTCATTTCAATTTCAAGTGCTGCATTTTGAAAGGTGAAATAGTACTCATGTGAAAAAAGTACTGAAACTGTATAAATATGCGATTGAATTCTTGTCAGTATCGATATAAAAACAGGTTGCAAAGAATATTTCGAAACTTTCAACATCTTAACCATTGGTACAAGTAGGTGAGTCGGCTGCAGATTTCTAATGTCATCTGATTACGAAATGATATATATGTCCCAGAGGATTGTAAAAACATTGTAGTTCATCGAACCTGTGCCAATCACTATCCTTACCTTAGCAAAATGATTGAGCAGTAGCACTTTCCTGTGCGGAAATTTGCACTCGATTTCGCGATTTGATAACGGGATAATAATCATGCCATCTGATAATTAAATTGAATGGGAGATCTCAAAGACCTATACCTGTGCCAGCCCTCAGTCTTAGCCAAAACCATGGCACAGCGATTTATTTGCTTTTATCATTCCGAACATACTTCCGACATGTGATAACGAGTTGGGACAACGAGCAAATGGAACTGAAGTTAGTGCGACAGAGCGTCAATATTTCAGTGAATATTTCGTCCTCGTTGAGAGACAATATCCGATGGACCAGTGTGGAACTCATGTGGTGCTCACACTACAGTATTCTGATCCACATGTTGAGTTTTATACTGGTCCATCGGATATTATCTTTAGAGGCGGCGAAATATTCTGTGAAGTATTGACGCTCTGCCACCAACTTGGATCAGTTCGAATTGCGGCACGTTTGTATATTTGCGAAGGCGACATCATCTCCTTTCATTTGCTTCTTGTTTCAACTCTTTGTCACATGACGGAAGTATGTCCGGAATAATAGCAGCAAATAATTCGCTGTGCCTCTAGATATTTTTTCGTGCGCCCTATATATGTGGCGAAAATCTGTTGTATTGTCTCATCCACTTGAATCAAGTTTCTAGCTATCAAAAAACTCGAGCAAACGAGCTCTGACGCATTATTTTGCCCAACCTGTATATAAGATTACTTCAAAAGGTTTCCTTAGCAACGCATGTCTAATTGTCGCCATGCATAAGCACAGCAGCTCACATTGATCATTTTGTGATTCCAATGTATTTTAATTATTGAAATACTTTCTCGATATTGAATCGTAGTTTGTCCCGTCACAGAAAACCGAGAGTGTATTATAAACGAGAAAAAATCAGATTTTAGCTCGATCTCATACTATTTTTATAATGAATAACTAATTTCAATAAGTATATATATACTGTTGGGAAGCATAATCATAATATACGCTTCGAAAGCCAACTTCAACCTGAGAAACACCGCACCACGTTGTATCAGAGCAGTTTTTATTCATTGTCCTTTTATTTTACTGTTTACATAACGCTCTTGTTGAGAAAATTAAGAGTTCTCAATCTCGAATACATTCCAATATATTATCAAACTCCAGGAATTAGTGCTTTCATATTTTGTTTTGTCCGCCCGACAATTAGTAATTGAATCCTTTATTTTATTTCAACTCGATAATTCGATTGAACTATATTATATGGATCTATAGATCAATAAATTATCGAATCGGCAAGATCGCGAGTTTTATGTAGGACAATAATTGATAAATAGCGGAAGTCATTTCGTGAATTTAGAGGTGCGACTGATATCTTCAGATAGAGAGATAAAAAAAGAATCAGAGGTATCAAACGCAGGCATCTTGAATTGTCATTGATTATTAGATGTGCATTCTTGGTGATATGAACACAAAATTCGGTATTCACCGTTAACCACAATATATCGTCTGATTATTTTTTCTCTACAATGGTGAGCTTTGCAGTTTTTCTTTCCATTCATGCTTCTTGTAGATGATGCATTATTTGAATCTGTACTATTTAATTAACATATGTTTTTATTGGGTCGCTTTCTTGCATTCATGTTTGTTCGCTACAATTTTTTTTTATCTACTCACTGAATCGAGATTCGGCGTTACCTCCTGTGGTATATATCCGTACGCTAAATGTCATATTAGTTATGTGAATAGCAAAAATCATTTATATATATATATATATATATATACGGTGTGTGCGATTTCAACACGCAACACCCTCCTTATTTGGAACCCGTCTACCGATTTTCAAAAACAAAAAGTTCATAATATAGTTCTCAACGAGCTCTATTCGAAAATATGGACAAATCTGAAATGTTCATATTTCTAAGACCTACTTTCGATTGCTGAATGGGTCAAAATTCCGAAAACGACTATAAGGCATTTTTTTATCGAAACAGTGACTAGCTCATTCGATTCAGGCATAGCTTAAATACCCTCATACGAAATTTGAATGCCAAATTTCATGTAGGGTATTGGTTATTCAATGGCAAATTTTGATGTTTTTGATTTTTCGATTCACCCTGTATCAAAATCTAAGGAATCATTCGATGGAGAAACACTTTGAATACTTGGATACGAAGTATCATCATTGTAACTTCTACAGGTCAACCAAAAATCAATGAAATTAAAGTTGAGGTTCACCATTTTGAAAACTCAAGTAAAGCGTTTTTCGCACACTTCATCATACAGTAACTCTGAATATCCTCTAGATTGATAAAGAACTGTTGAATATGCTACAAATGA